GGGTCTAGTTTCATTCTTTTACATGTGAATATCTGTTTTACCTGCACCATTTACTGAAGAAACTGTCTTTTCTCCCCTGAGTATTCCACCTGTCTTAAATATTAGTTGGTTGTATATTCTGGGGTTTACATCTGAGCTTTTGATTCTGTTCCATTTGTCTATGTGTCTGTTTTTATGCAAGTAGCATAGTTTTGATTACTGTGAATAAGTTCTGGGGACGTAATGTACAGCATGATGACTATAGTTAACAGTACTGTATGTATATTTGAAAGTTGCTAAGAGAGTAGGTCTTTAAGTTATCATAGGAAAAAAAGCCATAACTGCGAGGTGATGGATGCTAACTTGTGGTGGTGACCATTTTGCAATAGATGTCACATCATTATGTTGTTCACCTTAAACTTGTACAATGTTTCATCAATTGTATTTCAGTAAAACTGGAAAAAAACAGAACACAGTCACAATAATTTCATGCATAGATTGGCAAAAAATCAAAAACCTTAGCAATCATTTCATCAAGGAGATAGAGCAATAAGAATTCCCATGTCCTGCTTTGGCAGAGTGAATCATTACAGTTTCTTTGGAGAACAGTTTGACAATATCTCCTATAGTTGAAGACATTCATATTCCACCACCCAGAAATTCCACTCCTAGAGGTAGACTCTTACCCATGCACGCAGGAACATGTGCAGTTTCCCCCTGGACAAGAGTTTGAACTACAAGGTCCATTTATGTGCATTTTTCAATGAGAAATACTACAGCACTATGTAAAAGACAGCTGATCAAACCCACAGGTGCTCAACCACAGGTACGGAGGGCTGGCTGTAAGTTGTACGTGGATCTTCGACTGTGCAGAAGGTCAGCGCCCCAACCCGTGTTGTTTAAGGGTCAACTGTATATGAGAATGCTTACAGAAATTGTTACTAATAGCAAAGAAAGAAAGAAATTTTAATGCCTATAAAGAGAATAGACACATAATTGTATTATAGTCACACAGTGGAATAATATATAATAGTTAAAATCAATGAAGTAGAGAAACACATATCCACATGATGAATCTCAAAAAATAGAGGACACAACAAGTGCTTTATTTATGTAAAGTTATGTAAAGTTAGAAATATGTAAAACGATACTATATCTTGTGTGTATGTGAGGAAACCTGAAGAGGAGAGAGCAGACACAGTTGGCGAGGAGTACAAGTAGCCTGGTTTGTGTTCAGCTGTGCCATTTTATTCTTTAAGGGGAACAGTAGGAATGGTTAACTTTGTGGTATTATTTCTTAGACACTGTTATATATCAAGTATTTAAAAATTTATTTAAATGAGCAGCACTTAAGTGAGTGTATTGAACCATCCGTTGTTGATTAAAAATCTCGTATGAAAGTGCTTCCAACAAGTTCTAAAAATACATTTATACATTAGCAACAGGGCTCTCTTCTCCCAGTGAATGGATTTTTTTTTTTTTTTTTTTTTTGAGACCTCCATGGCGGAGTCGTGGTGACTGGTAAGTGGCAGGGAAGGGGCTGCGGAAGCAGGAGGGACCAGAGAGGTGTAGTGCTCGGAAGGCACATTTCCAGGGGAGAGAAAGGCACCTTCGAAAGGGGGAAGCATCTCTTGAAGGCCTGATGGCACAAAAAAAGAAAGGAAGGAAACGGCTTAAGAGAAGAGCCCTACATATACCACGTGGTATCAAAGAATCAGAACAATGAGGAACCGCCAACCGTGCAGTTACTAATTTCTAAACTGCACTTCACTATAGTGGCAGAAGAGGGCGCTCGTGAACTAAGAAGCAAAGTAAGCACCTAGCCGCCTTGGCCCCCAGTAGAATGACCTGTTTTCTGGGTCAGGAAAATCCAACAGACTTCATCCGGAACAGAAATACACACAACACACAGAGAATATGTATTAAACTTTTTCAGCAAATGAAAATGCTTTTTTAAAAAACTCAGCAAGCCGAAGAAAATACCGACACCCCAACATGAATCAAATTTCACTAAATGAGAAATTGCAGGAATGAAACAACACTGTAACTCCATGAATCTAAAATTCTGACCAGAAACAGACAAATGATTGTGAAAAGAGCTGACAGAATACTGGAAAGAAATGGAATAAAAAGACAAATTATTTCAAAAATGACTGAAAGTTGTCCATGTGGTAACTGATGCAAAGTATTTAAAAGGATGCGGAGGATGAGAATAAAAGAGCTATAAACAGGAAGACAAAGAAGGAAAAGATCCCAAAAGGAAGTATAATCATAAAAGGTGGAAAGAGTTTCAGCATAGGAATAAATACTCTTGAGAAAATGTAAACAAAATAAAATACTGGAAAAGAACTACTATTTGAAATTATGATCCATGCAAACTTGCCTGAAATCAAATAAGACATGAAACAGTGCATTGAAAGATTTTAACTCTAGAGGAAACTGGGTGAGAGCAATCTTTGCAAAGTTTATATATATCTAAAGCTATTTTTAAAATAGCCGTGTTTTGAAAAATAAATGGCGCTCTCAATCACAAGTTAAAAAAAATTCTGAAGCAAGTATGTTGAAATAGTCATATGGAAAGGGCAGGGAATAGTTGATACAGATGGTTTGTTACATTACTCTGTTGAACCAGCTTTCTAGTTTTGGTTGTGAAAAAGCATCTTGCAGTGGAGGAACCCTCTCATTGAACAAATAGATAAAGGTGAATAAAACACACACACACACAGGCACACAAAGACACATACGTGTGCACGATCTGAAGCCATTAGAGAACCGCTGAGGCCACCAGGACTTCCCTGCAGAGAGAACTCCGGAGAAGGGGACTGGGATTCCTCCAGGCACTTTCCCACTGTGGAGATGTATCAGTTACTTGCTAGGTGTCCTGAGTTCTAGACTCCAGGCTGAGGCTTGCTTCTCAGAGGCCAAGAACCAGCAGAGCTATTTGCATTCCCACAGAGCCAGAGAGATAAAAATGGGAAGACAGTGCTGCAAAGGCAATCAGAAATTACATGCCATGATCGATCTCCATTCCCCATCCAGCAACAAGGAAGATCCTAGGACAGATAGGGAAATAAATGTAGACTGAAGCACAGAGAGAAAAGGGGTTTAAAAAAACTGAACAGAGAAGGGGAGGGTAATAGCTCACTGAGAGAGCACATGCTTAGCATGCGTGAGGTCCCAGGTTCAATTCAATCCCCAGTACCTCCACTGAAAAAAAAAAAAAACTGAACAGTCTGTGACCTGTTGGATGATATCAACTAACTTGTTTAAATGGGTAACAGAATTTCTTACTTTAGACACAACCACACAAAATTTATGGGGCACAGCAAAGACAGTGCTAAGAGGGAAGTTTATAGTGATACAGGCCTTCCTCAAAAAAGAAG